AGATATGCATATTTCTTCCACCTATGTAAATATAACTGAGGCAATTTTGTTCTAATGGTTCACAGCGTTTTATTCAAATAACTCTGGCTATAATATTTAATGTAGGATAAAAAATTAACCAGAACAATTCTTTTAAAAGATCGTTTTCTTTTCTTTTTATCTTGAAATGTAAAATTAAATATGGCAGTAACAATTTGTTTGATCTCAATGCTTTCTGATATAAAGAACTAAGGTCTTTATGAAAACCAGGAAGTTCAAAGTATAATTTTAAACAATAAGCATAATGGATACCATTAATTTCAGAGGTTTCAGTTTTAGTTTTTTCTGTTTCAGCAATAGTTATAACCCTATGTTGACAATTCACCATGCCAAAAACAAGAGTTCATAATTTAACAGTATAATTTTCCCTTTTTCTTAATAAAATGTTCCATGAATTATTTGTACATTATATATATATATATATATATATATATATATATATATATATATTTCATAACATACCTCACCCTATATATATCAACTACCTCATTTCATTACTAAATTAAAAATGACAATTTGATTTCATTTTAATTTCTTTATTTTCTTCAGAATATTTTAATATTGATATCCAAATTGTTACTCTGAGAAAGGGAAAAACAGAAACTTGAGGAGACAAACATTTAATTTCATTTAATTTATGGTATTGTGAGCAGTCACTTTTGTAGGCAACACTTTTTTCTTTGTAGAAAAAGAAGAAAAAAACCAAACAGCACCATTAAAGAATGCATGATCCCTGAATTCTAAACAAAACACTGTCTAAACTTTTTTCAATGCTTGTTGCACTCAGTCACATTTAGTCAGGTATCAAAGCAAGCATAACAGTATTATTTGTAACAGTCTTACTGAATCAACTGCTCCCCCTTCTGAGGATTTTACACACCTTTCAGTTTTTCCTGTGGGAATAATATATTCTTTGGTAGAGGATTGAAGGAGGGTTTCACTCTTTTGTATGCAGATAGAAAATGTCTATGTTCATTCGGGGCCTCGCCCCCACTCTTGTTTGCCATGCATGTTATGTTTGGGTTGATTTCACAGTTTGCTGTTACACTGTAGGAGTAATTCTGCCTTTTTTTTAAAAAAGGCATTCGATGGCTAATGTCAAACAGATGTAAACATTCAGAATACTGACCAAAAAGAAAAAAAATATATATATATATATACACACAACACATTAAAAAAAAACTGTATTGAAAGTATGAATCAGATTAGTTTTCCATGAAGCTGGGGGGAAATACAGCAGTACAACAAATTATGGCAACCAAGTAAAGCACTTTCTTTGAAACATTCATAAACAGTACAAATACAACGAAGTTTTTCTAAGTCTAAATTATTCAGCAACTATCAAATATAGTACAAAGCGAAATAGTATGTGCTATAAAAAAGCAGCTCCTTTAAATTATATTAAAAATGCTTTTCGTTTGCTTTACAGTGACAAAGCATGAGGACTGAAGACAACAGGATTTTTATAGTCAGTAACATTCTGGCTGCACAGGCCCCTGACAGTCTGAGGAGTTCCTGTTCTAGGACTCTTCACATTTCTCTGGGAGCGCAGATGGACAGCGAGTCTGAGCTCTGCATGGTCCGTGGCGGTCACTCCCAGGCAGCTACTGTGGTGCTGGGCCTCAAAACCACAGAGCCATGCACCCTCCAACTGGGCTTCAGCTGCTAAATGCCAAGACTTCACCATATCCCTGAGAAGCCCAGGAAACCAGCAGCCACTGCAGCTTTCTCTTTTGAAACTGTGTGGGTGCCTGCAAAGGAAATGGGGCTGCAGCACCCGGGCGTTGACTCTCAACTGCACTACAGAGCACCAGGGGCACCTGCCTGTTTCTGCATGCTTGTTTTGAACTGAGGAAGAAAATCCGAGATCCAGAAGTAAACTACACCTCCCAGAAACACACACCATCCCCAAGTTTTTATAGCAACTAGGCTCAACCTCGTAGGTTTGTTTTCAAGTTTTTCTTCAGATTCGACCTTAACAGGGAAATATATATATATAACTATGGTGCTCAATTCACCAACATTTCTGCTATTCTCACTTTGGGGAAGGAAAAATATTTTCATTTTGAAAATGAATTTGCATCAGTACGGTCTTATTAACATGCCCATTGACTACCTAAATGTCTCTATACACCTCACGCATATGCATATCTTATCGGAGGGGGATTAGGGAATAGCAGTTTCCTTCCTTCCCCTGCTCCAAAAGTGCTGCTTAGGGAAATACATCCTTTGTGATTTAAAGAAAAATATGTTCAATGTGCAAGTCCTATTCCTGATAGGGATATAATAGGTTCCAAACATCAGGATAATGCACACACTGAAATTTGCACATTACACAATAACCAAGTAGTGAATTGTGTACTCTATTTGCACACAGGTAGACAAACGTAGAAATTAGGAACTAAGCACCTACTCCACCTACTCACCTAATTCAAATACACTGGCTTCT